AAAAAAAAAAAAAAAAAAAAAAAAGACTGTTATCAAATCATATATCCTCTGACCACTGGGATCACTACTTCCCTTTGTCACCCTCCATATGTCCTCAGAAGGACACAGACACCAGAATGACGGCTTGCATTGTGCTTTCTGTGTATAAAACTGGGATTCTGTGCAATAAAATCTTTTCTAATAATATCAGCAAAGCAATGGCTGCTAACAGATACTGAGTTTGCAAATACTCAGAGTTGCAAATGAGTGAAGCTTAATTTTAGAAATAATCTCGTAAGACAGGAACTGGTATCATTCCTTTTGGAAACTGAGGCTTGGTGAATTTATGTAATATACTAAGGTACTGCCATATGTTACTTGCAAATAAGAACCCCCAGATAAGTTTTTAGCCAAGGTATCAGGAAAATATTTTTGTAAATGAATCATGAAATTATAAAACTTTCAGGGGTAAAATCTTAGCAAAACTTTGGCCTTCTGCACTTTGCCTGATTAGTTCTTACCTCAATTTTGTCCTATTCTAGAATATGATAGTCCATCAAGTCTAACAAGAGTAAAGGAAAACACGCTACTTTCCCCTTGTGATTCTTAGCTATCAGAGATGTGAGCTAATTTCTGTTTAATGATAGCAACTGAATGAAATGCCTGAAGGTGATAATTGCACAAATGGTCACTTCTGGGCAAGCTTGCTTTATTTTATGCTTGAAGGTCATCATTAGTAAAATGGATGGTGAATTTTTTTCTAAGAAAAGTTATACTTTATACCCCATCTGTTATTGTACATTATAGTTCTGTTTATGATTGGCTAACTTCCCCAGGTTCCATTATGCTCACAAACTGGCAATTTTAACCAATGTATTTTATTTTTAGACAAGTCTTCCTGAAGTTTCTCTATTAAAAATTTTCAAGTTAAACAAGTCTGAATGGCCTTTTGTTCTTCTGGGGACAATAGCTTCTATTCTAAATGGAACTGTCCATCCAATATTTTCTATCATCTTTGCAAAAATTGTAACTGTAAGTAAAACTAATTTGCTCATATTTTTAATAATTTAAAGAAAGTGTGATCTGAGACAGCAAGCTTGTTGATCCACAAGGAGGGGGATATTAGGAGTTTTAGTGGTCACCCCTAGTGTGGGATCCTTGATAAGAAGGCTCTCAGGAGATAAGCCAGCCTCTACTGTGAAGTGTTCCGCTGGGCCTTGGTGACTGGGCGATCAGTAAAGAAATTGCTTTGTTCTCTAATTTTGACTCCAGTGCTGCATCAGCATTCCAAAGCACTGAAGCAATAAAATAGACAAATACAACTCCTCTCCTTTCAACTCGTTGGAACAATAGCAATTTATTGCCAGACAGCTCAAAGAGAGGAAATAGCAAGAGTTTGGGATTGTGCTAATGGAACCAGGAGAGTTAGTGGGTGCAAGGATCTCCCTAGATCCATGCTAAATCTTCTGTCTTTGCTAACGTTCTAACCTATAAGTTCAATCTCTCTGATTTGCACAGCTATACTTTGTCAAGATAAATGTCGATATATTTATAATCACTAATTTTAGGAATGATTTCTGGGGCAAATATAAAGTTCTCATATTACAGGTACTACTTAAAAAGAAAACCTGAGTTATCAACATTATTAGAAATAATAATTTTTAAAAACTGGTGGTTTATTTGAAAATACATTGTGATAATAAAGGATTCATTTGTCTGATCCCATATTTACATAATTTAAGAGAATTAAAAGCAAATTATCTTCATCATGTGTGATAAATTGCCAATATTAGTATGTTTTTTTTCTTCCAGAAATGTGTACATAGCTTTATTTTTATGTTGCAATGTATTTTTTTCAAATATCGATATTTTAGGTGGTTTTTTTTTGTTTCTTTTATATTTTCCTCCAAACACCTGATGAAAAAAAAATCTATTTCTTTTCAGATGTTTGAAGATAATAATAAAACCACATTAAAGCATGATGCAGAAATTTATTCCATGATATTTGTGATTTTGGGTATTATTTGCTTTGTCAGTTATTTGATGCAGGTAAGCTTTTAATAAATTAAAACAACCCAGGGTATGACTTGTTGATGTTATCCTCTCTATTTGATTTTAAAATATAATAATTAAATGTTACAAAGAAATAGAAAAAAGAGTGAAGAATAAACATAGATTTTTGTTTATTTGTTTTCCAGGGCTTATTTTTTGGCAGAGCAGGGGAAATCTTAACCATGCGGTTAAGACACTTGGCATTTAAAGCCATGTTATATCAGGTCAGTGTTTAACTGATTTTTTTCCTATCTTACTTAAAATTTGTTGCAAAACATTCCAGCTTTTAGTTATATCTCAAGTCGATTTCTGACATAATCTTTCCTTTTGATCATTTCAAAGCATGCTGTTTTGCAGCAAAAATCTGACATCAGAATTCTCACGGTACATTTTTCCAATAGAAAAAAAAATCATGTGATATTCAAAAATACAGGAAACAAGGATTGAGCACCTACTTTTATTTCTGGCATTCTTCTTGACAAATCTTTATTGTAATGAATAATGTAATATTCCAGGATCAGAATGGAAGACCAAATCAAAACGGAAAAGCAGAGGCAAGAGCTACAGTGTCTTGGGAAGATATCTGAAAAAGAACTGTTAACATCTATAGTTCTCATCCACCGGCATAGCTCAAGCTTTTCTGCTCCACGCTTCTTATTTATTTATTGTTTATGTATTTATTTTCAGATTAAAGGAGGGGCACGTGTTTTATTTATATACTTTGTTTTTTGCACAAATTGATTCAAAGTGTGCCCCCCACCCAGAAAGCATGCACAATACCGCTGCATATTAAAGCTGCCAATCTCTCTGCCCTCCTGGGAATAGTCCTGAACTCAGATAGCATCGGTCTAGCTGCCCGGTTTGTGTGCCACATCCAGATGATCAGTCACGTCTGCGAAATAACTAAAAATAGGTGGATCAAGCAGTCATCTTGAGCAGAGAGTCTTGGGGGCAAAATGGAAGGAATGTCTCCAATTGGCACCTCTGAAAGTCTTTCCTGAAGCTGCAGTGTATTGGGTTACCCTGAAAGCCAGTAATCATTTGGAGCCCTTCACCTCACTTTCTATCACCAAAGCTTGTGGGGCAGGAACAAATAACTTCCTGCCGGGGTAATTTCTTTTCAGAAATAGCTACTGTCACTTCAACTGAGTCATCAAAACCAGTTTTTACCTCTTACGACTTTCAGGAGCAGTACTCTGCGGGCCACTATGTAACAAAATTCCTCAGCCTCTTAGGGAACTAAAGGTACGAAATGTAGTGAGGCAAGTTGGACTGTCCCGTAGCAACCGGGTTCTCTGAAGAATCCTTTACACCCCTGTTTGGAAAGTTCCTATCTGATTTTTGTTCCATATTTGAAGACACTCCTTAATCCAGAAAAGCAAAAGTCTACTTTAGGGATCATAAATCAATCTGATGCCCGTACAAATCTCTTATGTTAAATGATTATTATTTTTTTTTAATTTAGGAACACTCTGTCTTTACACCAAATCATTTAAGAAATACTACATTTCACACTTGTTGACAATTTCTGCTCATTTCTATTTTTCTAAATGAATCTATATGTGTTCCCTGTTCAAAAATATTTATTTTAAATTATAGGAATTTTTGAAATTGTTTTTATATGGCAGAGTACACATTTTAATTTTTCCAAGTATCACTTTGAACTTCACAGCATTCTATTCACAGAATGCTTTTAAAGGAAGTCTCTCAAGGCCATGAAGCTAAGATTTTGATGGTTAATACTGTACATTAATCCTCTGCCTAGTATCAGCCATGTGAACACCAGGAGAGTAACATTCTTGGATAAAAGAGCCTCTGTTCCTAAGAATGTTTCAATGTATCAGCCATTGACTCTGAGCTGCAAAAAACTGCATTCAACTGAGTTCAACTCAGTCTTTTTCAGGATATTGTTTGTTTTCTATTTTGGTGTTCTTTTTGCTTATCTTTGGTTTTTAAAATTGGAGGAAAACAGTAGCATTTGGCCTTTTTTTCTAAGTATCCTAACAATCTTGCTCCTTCTATAGTAGGAGAAGCGCCCAATGTGCGGTTTTACCTAACTCATTTTTGTCCTAAGATAAGACTTTTTAAGCCTTAGCAAGCATGCTGAGGCTTGCGGTGCTTTTTATAATCATTTTGAAACTTGATTTGAAATAGAAGGGTATTTATAGAATCAGGTGAAGTCCTTTTATCAATATAAAATCTATATTTTATACGATTAGTCGAGATCTTTTCAGTTGAAAAGAATGTTCTCACTGCTGACTTCAATAGTTGTAAATAATTCATTGCTTGCTGTGTTTTAAAACTAAGCTTGTATTTCTTAATGATAAATATTGACCTACAGAGCTATTGAGTTTTTGAACAAATATGAAGTTTAGTTTTTCCCATTTCCCTCTAAATCTGATTGGCTAGAGCTTCTTTTGGGGATCTGTAAATCATAAGATGGTAGCATTGATGCTGATTGCTAACGGTCCTCAAAAGTACCTAAGGTACTTCCAAAAGGGTTTGAGGCAAGGAGACCAGAAGAAACAACTATAATGCTTCCTTCAGATGGGAGGCAGAATAAGATAATTTATTAAACATAAGCCTTTTGGGTACTGAGGTTCAAATCCTGACCTCAGCACTTGCCAAGTGTCTGGCCTTGAGCAAGTGACTGACTCTCTGAGTACCTTAGTTTTCTCACTTGCTATGTAGGTAATGATAGTATGGACCTTACAAAGTTGCTATGATGATTAAATGGGAGAAAAGATGCCAAGCACTCTTCAGAGTGTCAGTGCATTTTTGTTTTAAGTAGAATTCTTGGCTGAAAAAAGAAATGGATCTACTAGCGTCAGAAAGCCTGCTACCCTTACTGATGTTATCATCAGGAAGAAGGGAAGCAAGCTGATTTTTACACACCACCAGCTAAGTTCCAGAAACTCTGCTAAATGTTTTAGTATGTGTATATTGCCTATGTCGGAAAACAGGCCCTATGCACAACTGCTGGCTTGTTGAAAAGCCATGTTAGTCATTTGGCTGATTAAACATCAGATAATGACTAAGACCAGTCACATATATACCTAAACAATGTGTGTTATAGCAGGTTATTATAGAATCAGGAAAGTAGTAGTCAATAATAATTTTTTTCTCTCTATATAGATTTTTATATATATAGATAAATATATATATTTAGATGATATTTATATTTAGATAATATAATATATAGATAATATATATATTTATATGTAGATAAATATATATATGAATAGATTATATATACCTAAATAAATATATATTTAGATTATATTTATATAATATATAGATAAATATATCTATATATAAATATAGATATATAAATATAAATATATATCTATATATTTTTTTTTGAGACAGAGTCTCATTATGTCGCCTGTGGTAGAATGCCATAGAGTCTTCTCACAGTCACCTCAAACTCTTGGGCTCAAGCAAGTCTCTTGCCTCAGCCTCCCGAGTAACTGGGACTATAGGTGCCTGCCACAGTGCCCGGCTATTTTTTAGAAATGGGGTTCTCACCCTGGCTCAGGCTGGTCTCAAACCTGTGAGCTCAGGCAATCCACCTGCCTCGGCCTCCCAATTGCTGGGATTTCAGGCGTGAGCTACCGCGCCTGGCCTTTTTCTATATTTTTTACTTCATACTGTATGTAAAACTTTTTTGTATCTCCGTTCTATGTTGTGTTGAAACGTAGAAACATTCAGAGAACAAAGAGTGTATCTTAATTTTGGAGGGCGGAGTACACAGTAAGAGCAGATCATGTCTGCTAGTTCAAGGGTGCAGTAGTTATATCATTGCTGTTGGATATTCCCAGTTTGTTAGGCTCTTGCCTGGGGTTGTGCTTTCAAAGTGGATACTGTGCAGTACAGACTGTGGTCTCTATAGGATGCTCTTTGGACATCAGAACCCTAAATCCACTGGGACCCTTCCCGTGCAGTGGCTGAGAATGGTGCTGTCATGCTGGGATTGTACCCACTGTGCATGCTTATGGCACAGCCCTCAATTTTTATGCTTTTGTTTTAGTTGGCACCAACTTGTAACCAACCTCACTAGGTTGCAGTAAGCCAACAGATTTCTGTTTATAGATTTTTGTTTTACTCATTAAAGATAAACCATATTTCAGAGATAGTCTCTACATGGTTTTAATCTACAAGGGATAACAAGTGGTTTGAGTGAGTGGGAGGAAACATTCAATAGCTAATAAAAGGAATTAATTCCTGAGGTTGAGAAGGACTAAGACATGCTATGTCCATTTGCTGTTGAGAATAAAATTGGTTATTACATTATGCTTTTATTGCTTGAATTTTTGACCTGTCTCCTTTAGATGGCATGTTTCTTAGCTGCAGAGATTTACAGCCTTCTGCCTTTTTAGCCTCTTACACTGTCCAGAGCTTGTAAGCTCCAGGGGGGGTAATGCAAAGTGTCAGGGAACATCTTACCTACGTGGCTCTGAAAGAGAAGGAGATAGACTATTTATCATGAGTCAGTTTGAGTGGAAAGCTTTGAAAATCTCTCTAAATTGTGCTATGCATTGCTTTACTTTTTGAATAGAGTCTGCTCTCTGGATTACTTGTGGAATAAAATCATAAATTACTTGATGGTTCAAAGGGATCATTTTAAAATTGATTGTTATATAATATTGTAACACGGTAATGAGTCCAAGCTGTTGGGCTTAAGTTCTTCAGTTTATATCTAAACATAGATCTTTATGAAACAAGAAACAAAAAGCCATTTGATGCCTAGTATTTGCAAAAATTAAGTATTTCTGAGTAGGAAGCAGGTAAATGCCTTCTGACTTACTATAGCAAAATCTCAAGTCAAAGAAGAGTGTTTTTGACAACTATATGTTAATTCCTTTTTTCTCTAGGATATCGCCTGGTTTGACGATAAGGAAAACAGCACGGGAGCCTTGACAACAATATTAGCTATAGATGTAGCACAAATTCAAGGAGTACGTATATTGTTTTTATTTTTAAATGTGTATATTTACGGTGTGCACCGTGCACAGGTGCACATCTGTGGATACATGTGAGCTGTGCTGAGATGACCCTTATGATTGAGGAGACAGGTAAGTCTCACTGAAACAGGCAACTCAGAGAAAAATCAAAACGAAGGCTTTTAGTTCTGGTATTTTTTAAACAAAAATAAAGATTTGACACATATAATAGGGTAACTAGAGGTCTACAGAAGATACCAAGAATGAGTTAAAGAGTTAAGAATTAAATTGTGAGAAAAAAAAAAAAGATGAAAGCACACACACTTCAAGAGTTGTAAGAAAAGAAAAAGTTCAGTTTTGGTTTCCCTTCCTAGAAAATAAAATCTTAGTCAAAATGATGTTTAACAATTTGGAGTCATGTGTGCATCAGAAATGATTCTGTACTCGTTGTTGTACAGGTTAAACAGAGGTGTGTAATCTTGACCGATCACATTATGTGTAAACAAACTGTTTGTGTAGAATATTCAAAATCAATGATCAGTGAGCGTATGATGCCTGCCGAAGTCGTGGTTAAGGGTGGGAGTGGGGGAGCGTGCAACAGGCAAAGAATAATTTCCTAATTTGCTTCTAATTATTTTAATAAATTTAGCCTTTATATACAAATAGGATTTCGAGTCTGAGAAAGAAAGTCTAAAACAGGGTTTCCTGGTTGTAATTTAAGTGAGTTAAGCTTTCGTTCTCACTGTTAAAAGAACTCTAGCAGAGAAACAGGCTTTCTTTTTTCCTTATGGTGTACGTAAGAGAAAACCAATGTGTCAATGGCCTACCTCTGAATGACAGAAAAATCCAAAAGTTCTTACTCTATTTAGAAATACTGAGATGTCAATTATTCAATATATACCTCCGAGATGAGATTTATATGATCAGAGAATAGAACCAGGTGGTTACAGTTGTGAATATTCACATACATTCATTTTGGTTTGGAAAACTAATTTAGGGTGGAGAAAGAGCTCAAAAGGAAAGGGGCATCATCTTCACCTGGTCCTGAAATTCTTTTTGTTAATTTTGAAGACAAGCCTATAGAATTTTCATTAAACAGTATTTTAATTTTAAAACAGGACTTGAGTATCTCAATTTTACTAGCTTAAATGGAAAAAATGAGGGATAGAATTTCACTTAAACAATTAGTATAGCACTGATCTGCATAACACAATAGAATTAGTTGACTGAATTCTGCATTTAGGAATTGCAGAGTTCAGAGATATACCAGTTGCTATAATTCCGTTTTTAATTTTTTTGAAGAGCTTTATTGATATATAATTAACATGCTATGCAATCCAGCCATTTAAAGTATACAATTCACGGATTGTAGTATAATCACAGATATGTGGAACCATCATCACAGTCAGTTTTCAAGTATTTTCATCACTCCAAAAAGAACCTCTGTTCCTTTTAGCTACTGTTTTCCCACACTTTCACTCTCTCCCTCCCCTACCAGCTCTAAGCAACCACTAATCTACTTCTTATATCCAAAGATCTGTCTATTCTGAACATTTCATATAGATGGAACATATACTATAAGGCTTTTTGTGACTAGCCACCTTCATTTAGCATAGTGAAGGCTCATCCAGGCAGTAGCATGTATCCATATTTCATTGTTTTCACGGCTGAATAATATTCCATTACGTGGAGAAACCACATTTTGTTTATCCATGTCATCCTTTGATAGGCATTTGGGTTGTTTTCACCTTCCTACATTGGGATGCCAAACTTGAAAGCCTTCAGGGACCAATCAGGCAACATGAATGAGAGAAGGGGCTCCACAGGGACCACCAGGATGATGGTAAAAACTCCAGAAGGCAGCCTCCAGCAAGTTGCACTAAGTGGGCAGTGCACAGCTCCCCAAACCCTGTAATTCCATTTGAATCCCCATCCCACAGCATTTGTGATTTTCTTTGCTGGGTTAATATTTTGCTATCTTTCAAATCATTTAAGAATCTTTTGAGGGAAATAGGCGTTCTTTACAAGCAGCTATATTTATTTATGCGTGAGACATCTCTTATACGTGAGACTGGCTTCATTGAGAGGCCAGGTTGGTACTGAAAGGCCAACATTACTGTTCTTATTCATTGTTTCTGATAAATAGTGTTATCTATGATTGAGAGAAATCAGTGAGAATATTCGTCAGACTCATTCTTTATAAGCATTTGATTAATATCATTTGACCACTTGAAACTTTCTCCTTGCAATTAGTAAATGCAGTCTTATAATAACTTCTGGGCAAATCAAGCCATTTTTACTGAATGAGAGTGATGATAGTAGCCAGAGAATAAATGGTTGGAATCCTGATGGAAGATGTTAATGTTGCTGAATTTAAAAAGCAAAACAACCAAGGAAGGATTCCAAGAGTGAGACTGTGTCCACTGAACATGCCATCTACATAAACCCTTATGTTGCCATGTAAAGTGGATTCATATTCAGTTTGAATAGATACATTATCTATCAAAGGAAGAATTATTTACTAATTTTATTTGTCCACCACTTCTCCCAAAGACACTCTAGCCTAGAGATATTAGAAATAATAATTTAGGGGTCATACTTCCTAATCAATTGAAACAAGTTGCATTCCATCCCAGTTTCTTCATTGTATCATTTCAGTTACATTTTATTTTATCAAATGTATTCGAGTGAACATTTGTAAAAATAGATCCTTAATAACAATAAATTTGGGGTTGAAACCTTTAATGAACAAAAAGATATCCCTCTGGCCATTTTTAGAAGCTCTGATACTTTGAGAGTCATGATAAAAATGTGTGAGTGAAATAGTCATAGGACGGCATGATTCCTAGAATAGTTGACTGAATACAGCCAATTTACCTGGTATTGTGTTACCCCAAGGGAATGGCTTGTTGCCAGTACATCTGTCAACAGACTATTTTCTGTGTAGTATGTAGTTTTATTGAAGATAAAGGCCATAGTAGATTCTTTTAGATACTAGATTCTGCACAATTGCAAGGTATTATTATTTCTGTATATTTTAGGAACCCCTTTCCAACAAGTGAAAGTTTTACCTCATTTTTGTCCTTGAGAAAATATGTTACTGACACCACAGTGTATACTTGATGTACCACTGACACATTTAGTGCTAGTGCCAAGAACTCTCCCCATCAGAGCTATAATTACGTGGCCCCAAGAAATCATAAAAATTTATTTCATTTATTAATTGCAAGAGCCCAGTAAGTTAATTAGTTAGAATTAGAACATTATATTACCTGGATAGTGGTGACATGACTTTACTTCTTGATTTAAATTTTCGATATAGGAAGTGTATAAAACAGTTTGAACTTATTTTTGATTCAAACAATGTTAGTAATCATCAAAATTGCTACCGTATATAATTGGCATACAAATTGCTGTTTTGCCTGGAAGTTTTAACTTGAATTCGTTAAGAAAGATTATCAAGTCTACCCAGGGTGAGAGCTTGAGATTCTGTCTACAAAACAAAACAAACAATACATCTTAGCAGATTCCACTTCAGGTTACTTTTTTTTGCCCTCAATTTCTTTAAAAATATTCTCACCTGTAATTGTTCCATAGAGAGTATTCACATTGCCTAACTTTTCAATCACATCAAACTCAGCATTGGCTCCTCAAATAACCAACAATTGAGCAGTATGAATAATTTATACCAACTCATCAAGAGAGACAGAAAACTACTTGAAATAAGCTACCTGGTTTTTCAATTGACCATTGATGTTGCTCTCAATGTTGACAACTCTGAGCAACTGATCTTACCAGATGGATGACAGTCTTCTATCAGTTAAACAATCTGAACACATTTCTTCCACTGCCGCAATCAAACATGACTTAATTATCTCATTATCCATAAATTACTTTCTTTGCTTGGCTAATAAATGTGCCACTTAGGAACTTACTTTGGTTTTTAACTTCATTTTTTACATTTTAGTTGTATGAATAAATTTTGCTAAGATAAGATAAATGAGATTACAGTTTCTAATTTTTCTGAATGTTGCTTTCCTGTCACTGGGAAGAATAAATGCTCAGTCTGGTATTATTGACATTTTTTATATTTTTAGCACTATATAGTATTGTGGCATCAGAAACACAATTCTGTGGCATCAAATTAAAATATAAAGTAATTCAAAGTCCACTGTGCCCTAAAAGTATAATATTCAAAGTCTGCTTTTTTCTTCCTTTCTTGTTTTGAAATGATGGGTATGCAATGGTAATTTTTAAATAAAATTAAATAAAAGGATAAAATGGGACCCTGTATGACAGCAATATGTATGACATATACATGCTGTCAAATTATAACTACATTACTGAGATTTGCAGCATACCAAGCAACAGTGCAAAGCTATCACTATGGAGAAAATGGTTTCTTTAGCAACTACTCAGTTCCAACCACAAACAATAGGTAACCACAAGGGCATGATTGTGTCCCAATAAAAATTCATTTATAAACCCTGAAATTTGAATTGTATATAATTTTCATATAATACAAAATATTCTTCTCTTGATTTTTTCCAACCATTTAAAATATAAAAATAATTCTTACCTTATGAACAATACAAAAAAGGTAGAGGGTAAGATTTGGGCGGTAAGCTGTAGGTTAGCTTTTTAATCCTTGCAATAAGGAAACGCACAAAAGACCTCAAATGGTCTTTTACAAAAGAAAACTTCCAAATGGACATGCCCTTATCACATACTACCTTTATTCCATTTGTGTCTTTGGATTTAGTCCGATTCTTATAAACAACACATAAGTCTCTTTGGATTGGGGTATTCAGACCATTTTCAGTTAGTGTGGTCATCAATACGATTAGGTTTAAGCCTCTCATGTTGCTATTTCTTTTCTATCATGTGTGTTCCTTGCACAACTTTCCTGCTTTTCCGCCTTCTTTTGTATCAAAATTCTTTATTATTCCATTTCATCTCTTTTTAGGGGGAGGAAGACAGTTGCTATTACCAGCTGTAATTCTTTGTTAGTTTTT